TATTTATTACTGTATTTAAAACCAAAAGTTAATTGTATTGTATTTTTTGTGATTACTAGCAAATGGATATGGATCTGAGCGGCGGTGACTGCGGGGGCGGTGACCAACAGCAGCAGCAACAACAACAGCCCCCTCCCGGTGCCGGCGGTGGTGGTGGCCAACAGCCCGATCTGACCGCTGAGCTGTTGCAGCGTTTCTCGTGTATGAATACCACCGATCGGGACGTTTTGGTCAACCAATTGAAGCTACTGTTGGGCGAACACGTGACCGACGATTCGGCCCACTTCTGGCTCGATATGAACAACTGGTCAGTCAGGCTCTACACACCACACCCCCTGACCCCCCACTCACCCATAGCGTACACCCCCTGTGCTATGAGTTTGTGGTGTTTTTTATGAGGGTTTTTAGTTTGTGTTTAGGCACTTGTAGTGAGTGGTCATAACGTGGTAAACCCTGTCTGTCCGCCGCCCCCTCACTTCACGGGGCTTGTTGGGGTGGGGAGTGTGCTAGGTACCTTAAATTGATCTAGTTTGTGTTATAATATAGTTGTAGTGTAGTTATTAGTTGTATTATGGTTTTAATTGAACTACTTTTAATAATTTGATTATTAATACCGAGATTTAATCAGTGATTAGCAGACCAATCATATGGTAACCACTATTACCCCGATATAACCAACAAAATAGCCCTCTATGTCCCAGTTATACCCTTATATATCGCATATAACCCGCAAAACACCACATAAATTAAATTCAACTTATTTATATCTTAAATTATAACCATATTAATTATTTGTACCGTATTTGTTTTTTGTACACCATGGTGGTATTATACAGGAACCTACAGGCGGCCATCTGTTCCTACTTTGACTACGAACAGCCGGAAGGCATGGCACGGGTGGGCGCGGGCTGGTCAATGAAACTGGTCAACGATGTGACCATCGGTGAGGGCGAAGAGGTGCCGCCAAACGCCAATTTTACCAAGACTTGGAGGATCGCCAACTCCGGTACGCGTGGATTATGATTGTGCTTGTTGTTATTATCATGTGTGTTGTTTTAGTTTTGTTTTTGGATATCTAGATGTTTTTATGTTAGGATTTTACCGTGATTTATATAGTAGTGGCTGTGTGTTAGTAATCTTGTTATTTTAATCTAGCTAGTTAAGGTTTGATCATGAGTTATAATTAATTACTGTGTTTGTTAGTTATAATTTTGCAGTGATTAGTTAAATGTTTACATAAATTATTGAGAGTAACTAGTTGTTAGTCTAGTTTTGTTTATATAGACAAGTATATTAATAACAACATTAACTCAATTATTACATTAAATAACTCATAATTTATAACAAAACACATGATAAATCCACTAATTGCCTATCACTTATCACACCCGCACCTATGTCTACAGGGACCGAGCCGTGGCCTATCGGCTGTCACTTACGGTTTATGGCCGGCGACCAGATGTGCCACTCGGAGCGCGTGCTCGTCGACCCTCTGGGACCGGGCGATCAGACGGACATCTCGGTGGACATGATATCGCCCCAGAAGTCGGGCAGTTATACCTCTCAGTGGCGTATGAGCACACCTACCGGGCAGTACTTCGGCGGTAAGTGCCCTACCTGTGCCCTATCGGCATAGGGATGTGGTGTTTGTATTAGTGATGTTTAATTGATTTTTACCCCGATTTTTGTCGTGTTTAGAGATTATTTGGGTTATAATCAGCGTATCGGAAGGCGGGCTCCTGGAGGTCACTCAACAGATGAGCCGTTTCAACGAGTTGGGCGCCGCCTCTCCCCCATCGGCCGGCCATATGATGGTCGGTGGGCTGGGAGTTGGCCCGGGAGGTGCCTCAGCAGCCGGTGGCGGACCCATGGGTGCCGTACCGGCCATACATGTGAACCCGTTTGCCACCAATCAATTGCAGACACATTTAGGACAACACAACACAACTAGACTTCATTTTGACACACATTTCAATACGAATAATAATAACAACAATAATAATAATAATAGCAATCAAAATACCGACCACTCGATGCCAAATAGCGACCACCAGTCCGGGTGGGGCTGATAGGAGGGGTGGGGGTGTGTGTGTGGGTGTGGGGCCGGTAGGTCTAGTGATAAGGACTGTCCACCAGTGCCTCTATGAGAGAGTGTGAGTGTGTGTGTGAGAGAGAGAGAGCCTATTATACTGTAATTAATATTAATATTATATAATTACCAAAACACTCATTATGTTTATCACGACATTATATAACACATTGAAAAATTATTTGAATGAATGAGTTATTAAAATACTACTGTTTTATATGAAAATTATATGAACATGATCAGTTTATAATACGATAATATTAATTGTTTTAATTCTCTTTTCGTTTACTTTTAATTATAATAATTGTAATCATTATTATTGAAGAGAAATCTGTTTTTTCTGTCGATTCAAAAACTTTATAATTAATTAATTCATTATTTTTTGTGAAAATTTTTGTTTTATTTGTTTCTCTCATTCATTCGCAGCGATAATGAAATGAACAAAAAGTTTTTTATTAATTAATTAATTATTAACTATTATTATTACAGACAATACATTATTATAAATATTTTGATTGCAATTATAAATCATATGAAAATTTGTTTTTTTTTGTTTATTACTTTTTGGATAAATTAAATAAATGTTTTATTATAAGAGATAAAAATTAATAATAATATGTTTTGTTACAAATCAATGACTTTTTCTCAGATATTATTATAAAAAACTACTTTTGAATAAAAATATTTAGTAAAAAGTTATTTAAAAATCAATTTGTTTTGAAAATCAATTTCTATTTGTTTTAATTACTTTTAATTCTATATATATTTTAATATAATTAATAGATTAGCGATTAGTTATTAATAATAGTTTTAATTAAATGTAAATAAGTATAAATGACATAAAATTAACAAGTTTGCCCAGGTTTATTTGCTGGAGCATTAAAATCATATTTGTAAATACCATAATGGGTTTCCATACAAAATGAATAATAATGATCACTTTAAATCTGTCAATTAATTATGAATATGTTTCTAATGATAAAATTTAAATAAATAACATTTTAAAAATTTAGTTGATGTAAATTTATTATATTGAACTTTACTTAATTAATTGAAAGAAAATTTAATTTAATTGCTAAATAGCATAATAAAACTTTAATTATCTAATAAGAATAATTGGCATATAAAATGTTCCAAATTTATACCTACATTACTTCATTATAATTCATACAAGATACTTAGAATTTTATTTACAGTTATTATTATAACAGTTACAGGTATCATTAATAATAAATAAATAATAATACAATAGTTATTAATAATAACTTATTAACTATCCGTTCATCTCATTGAAAATATTTATTATCGTGATGAATTTATTGTCAATATAAATCTATTATTAGAAATTTTAAAACAACAATTCAACATAAAATTAAATATTTAATATACATAATTTTAAGTTTGTGTCAAATATTTAATAATTATTACATATTAAAAATATTTTTAAAGTTATTTAAAAATGTTTCGCAAAATAATCCAATGATTTTGAAATTCACGGACAATTGTGTTCGCAGTTTATTAATTATAATAATTATGATAATTAAATATATGGTAGAGAGAAACAACCGTTTTGCCAGACCACCATTGTCATTTTCTGAATATATTTAAATATTATTATTATGAAACTTTCAAAATATATTTTGTCATTATATTTATAATGCTTTAAAACTTTTGTTATATAAATATAAAACTTAATTAAATTCAATGTATGACTGAATCAATTGTTTAGCTGAAAGAGAGAGAGAGAGAGAGAGAGAGAGAGAGNTATTTTTTGTTTGTATTGTTTTCGTGTTGAGAGAAAGAAAGAAAGAGAGAGAGAGAGAGAGAGAGAGAGAGAGAGAGAGAGAGAGAGAGAGAGAGAATGGAGAGAGAGAATGGAGAGAGCATTGAAAGAAACCATATGTTGATTTCTTAATTACAGTGCAATTGTTATATGCATTATAATAACAATAATAGTAAACTACTCGCTATAATGAACACCTATATTATAACCGCACAGACATGTAAGACCATTATAATTGAGCACACACATTTTCACTAAATAAATAAACCACATACACACACTTATACATATAAATAAATTTTTGCATACATTCATTATATCCATTAGACATGTAATTTATTATGTATTATTTTCTATTAATGTACTCTCGCTATAATGTACAAGAATTTTATGAATATAAAACAGATATTGCATTGTTTGGTGGGTTATTTATTTAGTGAAAATGTGTGTGCTCAATTATAATGGTCTTACATGTCTGTG